TATAAGACTTGTCAATAAAATTAAACTTAAATACAGAATATTGGCGACAATACTATGCCAAATGTTTTCATGATGAGTAGTGCTGGTGGGACTTTCTCCACCTATTGCAAGCCTGTGCATTACTGTATCATTCAAATAGTAAATAATAATTGTATTTCATAAGGATAAAAAAGCCCATGACGGCAAAGACTAAAAAGCAAGTCATAAAACACCGAGTGAGTGGCAGGAACTTTTCTATAAGGTTCTTTCATCATTGTCTCAGCACCGATATCAGCCCAAATATAATGACGACGACGACGAGTCCCTCGAAGAGTGCAGAGGCCATTAGAATCCCGCTACTGGTCTGCTGTTACTCAGGACATCCTCAAGGTGGCAGTGATATAATACATATATGACTGGAATGATAAGTCACGACAAGGCAGCGAGTGGTTGGCTTGTGATGCCTTGTAATGGTTCAAAATGGGCAGGCGTGTGCAGGAGTGCGCCAATGTCAGTGGTGGTGCACATGCCACATCCGACGCCATCCACACGGGCTCCCGTATGGTCTGGTCCCCCCCTCCCCCCCTCAGTCGAGAGAGGGCTCTTGCAAGGCTGAACACTGGTCACAAAGAGGCCTCTGCGTCGTGGCCTAGACGGTTTGGTCCATCCACTATCACCAGTCAGTCTGCGATGCAAGTGTCTTTGCATTGTTTAAACACAGTCCATCATCAACATTTTAAACCTAAAAGCAGCAATTACAATCCATCAGTTCATGGAAGGAGGATAGCTTTGTGCATTGTTCAAGGGGGCGAGAGCGTTTGAGTCGTCGTTCCCGACACAATCGCTCTTCTTCTGAGGACTTTCCCAGAGCGCCGTGCATCGACTATAAAAAGTATCTGCCCCCTGTGGGTCTATTTCATGTTTCTGAGTTTATGCGCAACATGGAATCACAGTCGATTAAGCTTTTTTTGATGCTGAATTTTAGAAAAACATCTCCCCTCCTTGTCAAAGAGAAAACAAATCTCTGAGGTTGGATAGTAGATAGAATCCTCTGTGGTTAATCAAAATGTGATTTTAAATGCATCTGCTGCAGCAATGGATATAAACTACACCATGACAACAGAGACATTATTTAAATGAGGAGTCATTGGGAGGAGATCAGTCAAATGTGGAGGCAGTGAGTATGGAGCAGACAACCTTTCAATCAGTTAGTTTGTGTTTTGTATTTGAAATTTCATCCTTTTCTACAGGTTTTGTTTTCACTTCGACATTTGAAATTCACATGCCAAACAGTGTCCGGAAAATGTTAATCAACGCACTTTGATTTCACGGCGTATAACCAAACATGAAGCAGACGGCAAGAGCAGCGAGCTGAACGCCTTTCATAGACGGTGTGTTGGATGACTGAGGGCGAGGGACGACTATCAGGCGCTCCTCTCCTCCATAGTGGGCTTGTTGCTGGGGATGGGCTGGGCCGCGTACACACTTCTACTGTGGCTGTCCACGCTTTGAAAGTAGGGGTGGCTCAGTGCCGCGAAGGCCGATATCCTCCTGGAGGGGTTGAAGGCGAGGAATTGCTGCAGAAGACAAGATGACACGAATGATCAGTTCATGTTAAACCTAATGAGAAAAACTCATATTTGGTTAATCAAGTTGAAAACAATGTTTAAAAAAAGGTGTCCACCATTAAGAGGGCCCGTCCTTGCTCGTCCATGTCTGGAATCAAGTCTTCTATGGGCTTAGGGGGCCGAGGGGGGAAGGCACTCTGTGGAAGGGCCACTTCCTGGGGCCAGTCCTCTACTGAAGGTACCCCGACAACACTGTGGGATGATAAAGATCATGAGTGCGGCTCCAGTTCAGATCTTAAATATAATATAAATGCTTACATAACTGGCAGCTTGCTTGAACGTTAATAATATAAGTAAGATAATGGTTCAGTTGAGGAAAAATGAAATGTAAAGTGTCCACACGTGATTTAAGGTCCCGAAACCATATCAGTGTGAGTCTTGACGGACTTTTCTGAGTATACAATAAAGTTTTTGGAATCTTAAATCAAGTCTAAAGAAACGTACAGGACCTCCGGAGTAGTCAGAGAAAACAGGGCCGACGTTACTTACTCAAAAATCTTTCCCAGCTGATCAACATCTGAGTTTCCTCGAAGCAGCGGCCTGGAAAATGGAAAATAAAAAGCAGTTGAGTCTGAGTACTGCTGCTGAAACATTTCCACAAGTCTATGTCTATATACAGAATATTGCACTGCTATAAACTTAATGAATAAGTTTAAAACACATATTGGCGACAGTGTGCAGCATTAGTTCAGATGTGAGCGTTGATGCCCACAGTGCACTGTGGATGACCAGACTTAAGATATAAGCTTTTGGCCCAAGGCAGAGAGGAATGTGTGACTCCGATGTGAACGTTTGAAGTGGCCGCACACTCGCCGCTCGCAGATTGCGAGGCGGCGCTGGTCGTAGAGGGGAAGGAGGGAGGGATGAAAGGAGGGTGGAGAGCGACAGCGGGGCTGCTGGTGGTTCCTGTGGCTTTGGGCCGTCTTTTGCATGCCCGTGGGCGGCCGTGCCTGCCCTGGCACCCGCACAAATTCCAGTAGTCATCATCAGCACAGGGCTGCCGGGCCACCGCACAAGGCAGAAAAAGCCTATTTATCCCTTATGTGTGTGCGTGTGTGTCTGCTTTTGCTCTCTGTGTGACTGTGTGCAGGAAAGTGGGAGGGAGAGGCGTGTGAAAGAAGAGTTGGATTATTCGAACAGAGAAAGAGTGATGGGAAATAGGCCTTCATGCTGATGTTCCTCTAAAAGGAAATGAGGAGGTGTTGCTGTTAAAGAGACAACTTACTTTGACCAACACAACTTTTAACCAAAATGAGATGAGAATCTTTAAACTAATTTCTTTCAAAATAAGAGTATGAAATGGTCTAGAAAGTGACCGACATGCCGTACACCTTTTTTCTATTGTTCTGTTTGTTTGAGATAATGAGTCACCAGCAGATGTCAATGTTATGCAGGATACTGACACCTATGTAGGTGTGCTTGTATGCATTTGTGTGTATGCATTCTGTATCCAGGCCTCAATACAGCCCAAGTGCAACCCCACTTAACTTAAGTCAGCAGCGGCTGGCTCGCCACCATGTGTTCCCTGTGTTGCAGGAAGCTTCACATAGCTGAACACCCACACTTTCCTACAGACTCAGACATTGGGATATTAGTCACTCAGGGGTATTTTGCACTTTTTTTTTAGCAACTCAATTACGTGCTTCAGATCAGGGGTGGACATGAGTTTTGATTATTCAGAAAAGTCTCAAACTAATGGAAGTCTCTGTGGGTTTATTTCTGTGGGTCTTCTTAAAACATCTGACATTTAAAAACAGGACCACACCACATACGCAGGTCTTTTGGGGTAAAGTGCTGCACTGAGGTTTGAAAGTCACTCAAGATCAGACCAAACCAGTTTTGACTGTTCCAAAGCATGTATGAAGAAGAAGAGGAAAAACATTCACCTACAGCAAAGTCATCATGCCAAAACAAGTAGGGCTGATAATTCCGAGAGGTCCATTTTTAAACCTGGAGCTGTTTGAAGGTTTGTTGGAGGGGGGATGACTGGATTCACATACAGCCGACCACTGGCATGCAAACACAATCTACAGTGGAGTGCAAACTCAACAGTTGCATGCACTCAAGCAAGCACACACATGCACGCACAAAAGGGGGATCTGCACGTGCATGTGTGTGCACATACAAATGCGCATACACCCTTAGACGGATGACAGTTAAAGGAGGACTGAGAATGGGTTGGGATAGGCAGCTGAGTAACGCTTCCTTTAGTGCCAACATGGCTCTGTCCCACATTCCACTGAGACAACCTCTGGAATGTGAGCATGTGTGCATGTGAGCGTGCGTGTTTGCACGTGAGAGCGTCAATCTGTCTGGGTGGGAAATGGAGAGAAATAGAGATTGAGATTGGCTTCTTCATGTGTTAAAGCTCGAGTCAGTGTGTGGACATGTAAGTTTGTGTTTGAATTACTGTACAAATGAGCGCGTGTGTTTCTTTGTGTGCGCTGTAGAGGATTTATCAATCGAGCACCAAACTGTGAGAAAGTCAACACGGATGTTGAGCCTTTCGCGGACCATTAAAGCAAGACATTCAACCTTTTCGATTGGAGGAATGTCAACAAGCATGCGCCCTCTCCCATTCACTGGAACCATGACTCACCCTGACACTATCCCAGTCATGCAGATGCAGACTTGTATGATATTTGCTCAAATTCCTTTGACAACAAGTTTCCAACTTCTCTCTACAGTACATAGTCATTAAAAGAGGTTTTTTTTACAATGGCAGGTTTGACTGTGAAAGTGGAGAAGAAGGAGCTTGAGGGGAAAAAGCTTTTGAAGTTTCATGAGTCATAAGAAAAATGTTTTGAAGTCAGATTTGCACTTTTCTGACTTGCAACTTTAGATGACAGGGTGAAAGGGGTCTGTCGCTGCTTTAATGAAGCTGCGACGTGCACTGGACAAAATATGCTTCATATATTTCAGGTTGCCTGTTTAGTCCGGTTGACAAAACCGAATATCAAAATAAAGAAAAGCAATGATGTCTACTTTGAGAAGGAACCTGCAAATTTTTGCTAAACTATTTTTTCTAAGAAAACTAAATCGGTTGTGCACCTGACATATTCACTCATTCTCACAAAAAGGACATTCAATTTTGTCATCGGACCATTTCCAGTTGGCAGTTACAGTCGGGGTTTTTTGTACTTGAGCTGTCAACGATTCTAATCTCCACTTCAACAGAATTGCAAATCAATAAAACCGTGTTTTTCTCGTCTGCTCTTGTTCCGCACTTTCCCCTCTATCGCCTCTTTCTTGCGCTTTTTTTCACTGCTGCTCCCAGGTGCCCTTTAATCTCTAACAGGTGGCCTTTTAAAAAGCCATCTTAATCACCTGCAGAGAGAGAGAGAGAGAGAGAGAGAGAGAGAGAGAGACTAAGAGAGAGAGAGAGAATGTTCTGTTTATCACCATCAAAGGGCCCTGCCTTGATTCCACCTTAAGGCAAAGTTGGACACACACACACACACACTTTTTGCAGCTCATCGTGTCAGGGTAAGAGAAGAAGTACCCTACCCCAGACAGCACACACATACACACACACAGGTTGCACAGCTATCCTTATTTTCCCACTGACTTCAATTTATTGAGGACAGCCAAACCAAAACCTTATACCAAACCATAATCAATTCATCAACATCTAACCACTAAAGTTAATTAAATTAAGTCTTGCCACATTAGAGCTAGGCTTTAGTCCCCATGAGGTCTACTGGTCCTCACACACACACACACACACACACACACACACACACACACACACACACACACACACCTCTCACTGCTATCAGACAAGAGAGGATTGCCGGCAGGTTCACTTTGTGTCTGCTTTTTACAGGAACACTATTTTCTCTTTGGCACATATTAAATAGACGTTGCTGGGGTTTCATATCAGTCCCTTGTTGGCAGAAAGGATGGGTGTTCACTTCAGGTGCCAAACATGTTATATGAGGTTTGAATGGGATTAAACATGTCTGAATATACACCCAGTCACCTTTCTATTGTATTAAATGTGAATGTGACTGTGAATACAATGACCATACTCTTACTTAACCCTACGCTACTGGAAAAACAAGCGACACAGTTAAAGAAACAAACAGGCGAATTGTAGCAACAACATTCGCAGAAAAAATAATATATCTGATAAGTTTATTACTGTAATTCATTATTGCATCTCTAAAATATCAGAATACATGTCAGTTGCTGAGAAAGACGACCACACAACTGTGAAGCTGGAGTCAAAGAATGAAGGTACGGTTGTAGTGGGAAGTGACCTATACAAGTAAAATATTATCAATAGCTTGTTTACTTGGATAAAAATCCTGCATTAAAAATCCTATATTCTATTATCCACACTGAAGCATCAGCAGCATGTTACTGTTGTGGCAGCTGGAGGTGGAGCTAGTTAGAAACAGACCTGGTCTTCTGTTAACCAATCTAAATCTACTGTAAGAGAAAACTGTCATGTGTTATCATTTTTACAGCAGGCTGCCACACATTTGCACCAACTCTGTTTGAGAAGGACAGAGTGGGGAAGGATGCACCCACATTAGTTTCCAGTGGAACAGGTTCTGTCTGGATGTCACACCGACACCAACGACCCGACTTCCAAAGAGGTGAATGTGGAAAATACTGAGAGCTAATTTTCTGGCCAATAATAATAAAAAAAACCTTTGTCTCAAATGGCTGAGAACAACTTCAATTCACCATGTTTCTGTAAGAGATTCCCTTATTTGAAGTTTTGCTAGTTTCCAGCAAGTCAGACAAAACTCTCTGATTGAGACTGACGATGGCAATGTACATTTGAGTTTAAGGGCCATATAGAATTAAAAAAAGTAAAGTCAAAGGGAAGACAGTCATAATATTACAAGAATGCTGTTTAATCAACTGTGATGAATTATGTCATAATTAAATTTAAAAAAAAGTTACATTACAAGAATAAAGTTATAATTTAACAAGAATAAAGTCATAATATTACAAGAATGATGTTTAATCAACTGTGATGAATTAAGTCATAATTAAATAAATAAAAAAATTATATTACAAGAATAAAGTTATAATTTAACAAGAATAAAGTCATAATATTATGAGTAAAGCCGTGATAATTCAAGATTCAAGTCTGAATACTATGAGAGTAACGTCAAGATTTTATGAGAATAAAGTCATAATATTACAAGAATAAAGTTATAATTTAATAAATATAAAGCCGTCATATTACAAGAGTAAAGTTGTAAGTTATTGAGAGAATGATATTTCAAGAACAAAAATGTCAGAAATGGATCCAAACTGGATCTAAGATCTCACTGTTTCTTTAGAAAGCGTCTGCTGTCATTGTACTGCACCTCTCACGTAATTTTCGCTCGTCTGCATTCTGCATGACAACACAATCGCTTCACCTCGTGTTGCCCTTTGCCTCTTTACATTCCCACTGAGCTCCACGTGCACAGTGCAGAGTGCTGGCTGAGTGTGGCTGTGCATGTCTGGGTGTGAGGACGGTTTTTAGAAGGAAGCATAAACTACAGGCAGGGCTGCTCTTCCTGGCACTAAGCCTTACCTCAAAGAAACCGTTCTTATCTGCTCCAACAGCACACCAGCATAAGCTGGCTGGGTCCCCGCTCATTGGATTAAAAGACACATTTCTAAAACACACAATGCGTGATAGAACGTTAGATTGATGCCACAATGTTAAGATTTGTCTCTATGCCCTGGAGGAGTCCTTTTTTCTTGCATAAGCAGGCAGTTGAAGTTTTTTTTGGTACGTTATTAGCCTGGCTCTCCAGTGTGAAGTTCGTTAGACCACAAACTGACAAATACCTAGACCGAGAAGCTGAATGGTGACTCGCAATGCTGCGACCACAGCAGGCAGCCTGTCATTGCTGGAGTGGTACGATAAGGCAACTGAAATGTGATTCCTCAATGCTCACAGGGGCATCTGACAGGTGGCATTTAAGGAAACGGCGACAAGTTTAAGCAACACCCAAATAACTGATCCTGTTATGATGACAGTTGGGTTTTTAACGGGAAAATACAAGTTTAAGTGATCCGATCAGAGGAGGGCAGCTCTGAGGACAGCTGTGAACGCAACCAAATGCGATCCGATCCCCTTCATGGCTGGTCTGGGACACACGTGGCAAACACAGACTGTATATGAAGATGGACGACATGACAGTTCCCGAAAGTGAAGCCAGAGTGTTTCGATCGCCACCTGGTGGCTGATTGCAGTAGAGGTCATAAATCCTGCCTGCCCCATGTTAGTTGATGGGGCATGGACCAAACAGAAAAGTAAAATAAATTTTCATTTTTTTCCCCCCATTTTATGATAGTTTGGGTCGTTCAAGTAACCATTTTCTGGCAAATTTGGTCTCAATTAGTTATTGGATGCTGTAAGAACATGGTAAAACATCATGATTGACAACTGAGACTGACTCCCTATTGGTCGAGCATGTGTATTGGTGGGACTTCGCTATCGCAGCTCAATTCTCTGATCAACACTGTGCAGAATCCAAAATAAAAGATAGTGACTTTCGAATAAAGGGTGTTTTAGCTTCTCTCTGGATAGTGGGGGGGGTTGGATTCATATCGTTCATCTTTATATACAGCTGCGTGAATGCTAATGCATCCCGACTCAGACGGGCCACAAACAGCATAATTTGGTCATTGCAAACATGCGTTCTTTTGCATATAGAGCAAGGAAGTGGAATCCTATCACAACAGACATACTTAGGGCCATCTACAAGTGATTGGTTCACTCAGGACAGACGTTAACACTGCGTCTGAACTGGGCCCTGGTCTCACTGATATGAGTAGGTATATATCCAGTGTATGGACATGCCTTTGCTAGATATAGAGCCAGCTTGTATGTGGCAGACACAAGTTTATGTATGTTTCGTTTCCCAAAAATCAGTCATCAGCAGCTGAGGTGTAAATGTCAAGTGTAATTGTGAAAGCAGAAGACAGAGAGGATACTGCAGTGGGGGACTGAGGGGGTAATTTGAAAACAATGGCATGTGAATAGTGAGTAGTGGTAGGTGGTTCCAGACATTTTAAATCTCTGCCCGCATCTCCAAGTTTTTCTGCTGTATTTCCCCTAACAGGTCTGGTGTCTGAGGGACGCTTTCCCCAATGGGAAAAAGAGCCAAGGCAAATCGGAGCTTTCTCTAAGACATGTTTCCATGTTTTCCTCCTTCATCTTCTTGGGCTTTCCAAGAAATCCATTCTAAATTCACTGATAAGACCACACGGGTATCAAACTGTGTCTCTGTGATTTTTTTTTGTTTGATATTTCAGTCAAAATAGTTTGCTCTGTGTGTTCCCTGCAGCTCTCACCTTCTCCTGAACATCTCAGCAAAGATGCAGCCAACGCTCCACAGGTCCACTGGTGTAGCGTAACTGGACTGGAGCAGCACTTCTGGGGCTCTGTACCACAGTGTCACCACCTACACACACACAGCAGAAACCAATTGAGACACAATTGTTAAAGTTTACATGCAGAGACACACACGGACATCTCTTATAGTAAGTCACTGTCTAGGAAGGGGTCTTTCTCTCACTCCCTCACACACACACACACGCCCTCACTCACACAGTAATGCTTCTCTGTTCCCATCTTAGGCTTATGCAAGATATGAAATCATATCTGGCAGGACACAATTCCCTGCTCCTGTTTTGGTGTAACCACATCACACAGTCTTTCCACATTTATCCACCAGGGACACGCAATACTGTACATATACAGCATTATATATAAGTTTATTGAATGCGCTTCCTATTACAACAATGAACAATATATATCAGTTTACTGGTCTTCTTGAAGAGATAATGGATCAACTTTGGCATCAACAATCCCATCCTTCCTCTTCCTCCTGCCAAAATAGAAAAAAAAACTTCCTGTTTTGCATCAAGCGACCGCACACCCACCTGAGGTATAACGATGGCCATTTTGTGCCAATTAGCCCTGAGCATGGTTTCCAAATTTGTCCCTGTAACTCTATTTGGAGCTATGTGTGTGTGTGTGTGTGTGTGTGTGTAGCCATGGCCTGCAGGAAAGCAGCAGCATTGTTAACAGCTACAGTAGGGAAAGCCTCCAGACAAAACTCACTGACCCCTAGTATGAGAGTGGACCGGTTCCAGGTGCTTTCCTTAACTCCAGATTTTTCCAGCAGCTTTTGGCTGCAGTCCCCCCTCCAGGCTCTGCAGAGCACTTATCGGGATCTCAGAGTCGGAGGTGAGTGTTTGTAAGCAAAGCGTGTGTCGTGTCACATAGATATCTTTAATCAGAGGCTCGGACTCTCTGCAGGGATATGAGGACACGGTGCCCTCATTAGATGTTATCCACAAGCTCGTATGGGTAATGTGAGGTCAGTATCTTGAACAGGATGTTCATGGCCAAATATGAACTATTAAAGAGGGAAGCAGGTCCTCGCTTATGTGCTCAAGTGCCTCATGAGGAGTTAGATGGAGTCAGCACTTGCATAACTTTATGGTTCACAGGCTTTTGGACATGATTCTTTCACTAGGGGCGGATGATGACTTCAGTATTACATGTGTTGATCAGTGGTTTTAATCCTGTCCAAAGAACACGTGTGTGTGATTTTTCTCCCTGGTCTTTAATAAGTGTACTTGTTGGTCCTTCCCATTGGCAGAAAGCAAAGCTAGCTGTGCTGCTCTATGGCAATACATGCATAGTCAGGTCGTCCACTTTGTTCAACACTGAGACAACAACTATAACATTTATTGCCAAATTATTTATTTTTCCCCAGACATTTGTCTTTTTATAGACATAAAACCCTTAGGTAGGGTTAGTTCTTGTGCACCAGTGGTAGCACCATAGACTGTGTATAAAGACTTCCTCTCAATATCCAGACATAAAGCCTAATATTTGTTTCTAGTAGCTATCAGAGGATGGAGCCACTGTCTCAAAGTACCAACCAATCGTGAGTCAGTCTGAGCTGTCGATCACGTTTCACCCCAAATCCTTATGGCATCGAATAACAAAATATTACCAAACACCTCTTTTTGAGTACTTTGCTCCATGTCCCATCAACATACATGAAGGAGCCAGGTTTTAGAGCTGAAGCCAGATCAAAACACTTTGGCTTCACTTTTGGAAAGCCCTCATACTTTATATACAGTTTATGGATTGTGCCCATGTTCGAATAAAACACTCACATTTGAAAAATATTAATATTTAATCCATTGCTAAAATAATAAACTTAAGATGTTTGCTTTACAGTTTCAGAGCAGAAACACATCATTGACCGGCATGGAGGGAGATTTGGTAAAAATTTAAATTGCATGCCAAAAAGGAACCTGATAACATTTATGTCTCAATGTGCAAACTGTGTGATGAAGTTAAGAGCATCTGGTGTTGATACTTACATCAGCATTGTGAGGCTGCCCGCAGCAAAATCTAATGTTTGAGATCAAAGTAAGCGCTCTGCAGATATTAAGCGTCTTGTAAAATGTCAGGTGTAGTCTGGATTAATGTGTGCCTGCATCATTATCTGTAGATACTGAGCAGAAACGTCTTTTCTAGCACATTTACAGTGTAATCGGTAACATCGGTGTTGTTACAAGGTTCATACCTGGTGGGAAGTGTTCCACGCCGCAGCATCCCATATTGTCATGAGCATGATTTCATTCTGATGTTAACATTACGTTTAAAGCGGCACTGTGTCGTGCACCACAGATAAGGAAACTGAAAAAAACAAAACAAAAAGAATACAAATATTTCAGGATGAAAAAAGAAGAACACGCTGAAGATGTCAACAAGACGATGGGATTCAAGAGCTCTATGGCCTGATGCCAGCTTCGATGTGCTATGAACAAAAACACCTGATTTCTGCAGCAGAAGTTTTGTATTCATTTGTGCATTTCGTCAGACAAGACATGTGGTAGTTAAACTGTCTGCCCTGATCATTTGAAAGTAAAAAGATTATGTTTTTTCACAGTAATGTCAACAATACTATAAAAGGTAAAGATTTAATAAGCCAAGTGACAAAGAAAACATTTATTCTTGCAGTATACTCCTAACGGCCTTTGGCAGCAGCTTAAGTACCAACAATGAGTTAAGTTACCAGGCTCTGGGGCATTATTTTATTACCCACCTGCCCCAGAATTCAATGCAACAGGGGCTCCATTCATAATTACAGAGTAAGGGGGGAGTCATTGAGTTAAACCTACAATCTGACCAAACATTACCCCAAGCTGGAATTCTTGAGCCAGGCGCTCAACACACACTGATAAGAAGAATAAAAAGTTCAGTCATATTTCTTTTTTCTTCTAAACTGAATGACGCTATTAATAGAGCCCGCGGGCTGCAGTTTGCAGATGTGTGACACTTTCTCATCTCCTGCTTCCTGCTTTAGTGGAAATAGCCGCGATGTGTCGGCCGAGACACGTGACCAGAAGTGAGACGCACGCTCTCAGAATGAACAGAGAACAGTAAAACCTCAAAGAAAAACATGAATGGGAGTTGAGTGGCTGGCCCTCAAGTCAGGCAACGAAAACTGAAGACTGCATAGTTTAGATTTTATTACACTTCTTTGATTTTATCTGTAAGTTTTCTGCATGTGCTTAACTTAATATCTATTTTGAACACACAACAATTTGTTTCAATGTTACCAGAAAAGACATGGCACGTGAAAATGATGCCTTTTCGTCTTTTAAAATGAGGATGGAAGCATAAATGACTCTATGTCCCAATCGACAGCTTCCTGTGAGTCTTGCAGCTAAATGCATATGACTTCAGTTAAGTGCACAGATGCTGAAGCTCTGCACGGTCTGAGGTCAGGGCTCTTACGAACACATGAGCCTTCTAGGAAGAACCGCAGATGTAGAACTCGGGGTATCTTCAACACAGAGTTATTCGAAAACCACAAGTGCAGATTAGGGCATGTATACACACACACACACACACACACACATATATATATTTATATATATATAATCACGCAGTCCTACAAGTGCATGTACTCATATGCTGGAGGACAGACATGTTTATTGCAATCTGAAATGACACCCCAACTATATATATAATATATATTTATTTATTGTGTGGGGCTCATTAAGATTATTTTATGAATGAGACATTTGAGGCTCTAGCTACACAGACACCACTATAGTAATAATAAAAGTAATAGGAATAATTTGGTTGCTGGGGATAATGAAACTAGAGGTCATAAGCCTTTGTGAACACTTCTCACTTACAGAAAAGTACTAACCATTAACTATCTATGAACAAAACTATTTTCTGAGGAGGGAAGTTTCAGGGTGATCAGTTTCATTTCCAAAAAGTCTCACCCTTTTCTCCCCACCTCTCTCCTGCAATCTCCTGTTCATTCTCTACACAATCATCCTTCCCTGTCTGTTCCTCTAAGCCGCTGCGTCTGTAAGCAGTTGGACAGCCTCTTATGTCTACGAATGCACTTTGATCATACACTCACATCTGTTATACCAAATATCTGAAAAGAATATTACCCTGGCAAAAAGAACATGCTCCGAGCTACGGCCTAACCACACGTCCTCTTACAGGGAGATGATAACAACACGTAGAAGGATATAATAAGAAAAAGGACATGCTCCAGTTGCAAAGTTGCTTTTCTCTGTCCTTTTCCTTCCTCTTCTTCTGACCACGTTTGCATTCCTTCTCCCTCACCCCTCTGATTCTCTGTTCTGCTTCACATATCCCTTCATTACCCTCTCCCTCCTCCGTCCATGCAGGCTGCATGAACAGACACACATATAAGTGTGCAGGACAGAGAGACAGTGAGTCAGCCTTAAAAGTGCACGACACAGCATTTTGGCTCCCAGGTCATGCAGCCGCTTTGCATTTTCTCCCCCCCACCCATCACCCTCTCTTCCCCTCCTCGTGGCTAAAGTAAAAGCTGGAGGTGGTCAGATAAAGCCGGGGGAGGAATAAAAAAAGGGAGAGTTGGAGTTGAGGGAGAAGGAGAGTGTGAGAGGCTGACTCCAGATTAAAGGACAACATTCTGGAAATTCCTTTCTGCTGAGAGCATCCTCCCCCTCCTCCCCCGCACTCCCCCACGGCCACGCTCTCCTCTGTTTTGTGGAGGAAATGGCCTCTCCTGCCCCAGAGGACCTCCAGACCTCCTGGGCTGGACCTCCAAGCCTGCCTGACATCCAGCATCCGGACCTGTGCCACCACCACTGACGCTAAGGGAGGAGCGTGTGACAATGGGAGTGCATGCATGTGAGCGTGGGGGCATTTGGTTTGTGTTATGTGCATGTTGCATGTGACTGGGAGAGCACCTGCTTTTTGCCTGGGTGAAAGTGCATGGACACCAAATGCTTTTGTTAGAGTGTCTGTGAATGTATGCAAGTTATCTGGAGCATGTGTTTGATGTTTGAAAGGGTCAAGTTAATTTTATTGAGGATTTAGTTCAGTTTAGTTCAATGATTAGAAATTAGTTTCCCT